CGGGAGAAGGGGGGAGAAGATAGCAGAGAGATTGGACAGAAGCAGCTCCAGACCTAGAAAAACCAGACTGCGTAGGGAGTCGGCGTGTCCGCTGCAGCACGGCAGCACCCCAACATCTTTATATCCCTGACTCGCAAACTTGTTTGGGAGCCGCCGTTCCCGATGACACTTACGTGACATTGGAAGGGCCCGGACAAGCAAACGATGAACGGCAGCCGCCATCTTCTCCCACAATCCCCAAGGCTACGGCCACTAAGCTGGGCCAAAATTTATCTCCAAGCCTGTCTGCGCAGGCGCTGCACGGGAAAAGGAGTGGCTGCGAGGTAGGGACAGAGGACAGCTGAGAAAGGAGCGTGGAGAAGAGGATATGGGGAAGGAAGGAAAAGTGAAGGAGAAAGGGAAGAAATGAAAAGGAGAGAATCATGGGTCTGAATCTCAGACCTAGGATGGACCATAAAGATATTATGGCCCATAAAGAACTTGAAGTTCAGTCAATCAGTGACTTACTCATGGTTATACAAAATGGCAGAACCCGAGCTCGAGGAGCTTAACATTCCTGACTCTCAGTGCAGTGCTCCTTGAAATTGTCAGATAGAGCAGCCGTTGGTGACACTAGGGAAGAGGCATGGCCCCTGTCCTCGAGGAATTCTTGAAGGAGAGAACCACGGCCCAGAAAAGGGGCGGGTGGTGTGGGGGTGGGGAGGACTAGGAGAAACAACGGCGAAGAAAAATAGAAATGAGGATGTGTATCACAATATATTATATGCCCCAGAGAAATAAATGCACATCGAGCACACTCAGGCCTTTGCTCTTGTTTGTTCACTTTTCCTGGAATGCTCACTCAGATGTCTGCACAAACTCAAGGTCACAAAGGCAACCTCTGGAGAAGACTTCTCTGACCACCCCATCCAAAATGGTCATCATTCCACCTGTGCTATTATTTTTTTAAATTATTTATTCATTTATCAAAGCACTTAACACTACCTGGCATACCATATCCAGGGGTTTTTAACCTGTGATTGATGAATGAGCTACAGGAAGTCTGAACTTTTGGAAATGTTATGCAAAATTTGCGGCCATGTATGCCGTTTGTACATTTTTCCAGGGAGAAACTCCAGATGGGTCTCTAAAACAATTTTTTTTTTTTAAACTATGAACCCCTTTGAGAATCTACATTAGTCCAGAAAGCCGTCTGGAGCCTGAAGGGATACCAGAAAGATTAGACTAAACACTTGGCATTTTTAAATATTCTGGTCATACCTCTCAGGAGACAGCAACCAGTGATCATTTAAGATAGCTGCCTTGAGTTTGTCTGCAAACAAGCTAGTTTGGGGATCTTTCTAGGCTTGGTCATTCTTTTAGTGTTTTGTGTTTTCAGGAAGGGAGGAGCATGTATAGCTGGTGTCTTAGTCATCTAGTGCTGCTATAACAGAAATACCACAAGCAGATGGCTTTAACAAACAGAAATTTATTCTCTCACAGTCTAGTAGGCTACAAGTCCAAATTCAGGGCGTCAGCTCCAGGAAAAGACTTTTTCTGTTGGCTCTGGAGGAAGGTCTGTGTCATCAATCTTCCCTTGGTCTAGGAGCTTCTCCGTACAGGAACCTCAGGTCTAAAGGACTCACTCTGCTCCCGGCACTGCTTTCTTGGTGTTATGAGGTTCCCCTGTCTCTCTGTTCACCTCTCTCTTTTATATCTCAAAAGAGATTGGCTTAAGACACTATCTAATCTTATCTATCTCATCAATATAACTGCCACTAATCCATCTTATTACATCATAGTGATAGAATTTACAACATATAGGGAAATCACATCAGATGATAAAATAGTAGACAATCATACAATACTGGGAATCATGACCTAGCCGAACATATTTTTTGGGGGGGGGGGCACAATTCAATCCATGACAGCTGGTATGGACAAAAAGCCTGGAGTGAATGTTCTTGTTAGTTGCTATCGAGTTGGCTGGACTCGTGGAGACCTTATGTATAACAACAAAATGTTGCCTGGGCCTGCTCTATCTTCATGATTGTTGGTAGAGTGAGTAAACCTATTGCCATCGAGTTGATTCCAACTTATAGTGACCCTACAGAGTGAGTGGGGGTTACCTGATACTAGCCTTGTAATGTTTGTTGTTCTACTCTACCCTTCCCCCACTGTTTAAACTACTTAAGAGTCACCTATCAAAATAAATTGAAAGAAAAATGAAACACTTGAAGAAATTCGATCAGAGAAACTTAGTAATGGTAGGCTGTCATTTATTTATTGGCCTCATCCTGTATTCACTCAGAACTTACCATTTGCTAATATTCAATTCTGAGGTCAATACGGATATTAACATACCATGCTAGTTCTGATAAATTGACAGAGCCCACTATCATCAGCAACCTTCTAACTCCTATGTAACATTACCAATTATGTTATTTGACTTATCCAAGTCAAATACTCCCTCTTGTTCTCGCTACTAGTTTCAAGGTGGCATATATTTGAAAGAGCACTGGCTTAAAGCCTAGAGTATTAGATCCCAGTCCCAGTTCTACTAGTTACTATTTATGACCTGAGCAAGCTTCCACACCTGTCTAACAGAGAAAATAATGCCTACCCTATTACATCAAAAGGTTATTGTGAGAGTTCAGATGACATAATGGATATGAAGGTGTTTTGTCAACCTCAGAGGGTTATATGCTGTGCTGTATGTGCAGTCCTATTCAAATATCACTGAAGTATCAAAGTCAAAGAAGGCTAGAGCTGGAAGGGATCTTAAGAGATAAACCTAATTTCCGTTTATCTTAAAGTTGAAGAAACAGAGGTCTAATATAAAAGATAACTGATGGAGAAATGACTTTGATGAAGGTAGCCTGTAATAAACCAGTCACTTTTGAATTCAAGTTAGGATTTTAATCTTAATCTTGCAGCCTTGATCAGAAATTGTTTTTGCTTCATGGAAACTCTATATTACTCCTATATTTAATCATTAATCACAGATTACCTAAGGTAACATATCCAGAGAGAATGTACTAATAGTAAAGTCTTCCAGCCTAGAAGAAATTGCCAACCAAAGGCCTCTTGGTCTGATTTAGCCCAATAGAGTTCCTGAGGTCAAGGCATTGCAGAAGATGGATTAGTGTTACTATATTGCTCATCTTCTAAGAGGAATCAACCCAGAGATTATCAGCTTAGGCAAAATACCCCAAAATTTATTTTTTAACATGTAAGATGCTTATAGGAGTCCCTAGGTGGCACAAATGATTAAGCACTTGACTAGTAGCCAAAAGATTGGCTTTTCAAACCCACCCAGAGGCACCTCAGAAGACAGGACTGGCAATCTGCATCTGAAAGTCTTGAAAACCCTGTGGGAGTAATTCTACTCAGCACACACGGGGTTGCCATGAGTCAGAATCGACTCAATGGCAACTAACAACAACAACAAGATGCTTATAAAATAACAGTCCAGACTGGATCTCCCAAAATGAAGTGATTCCATGGGCTTTGCTTAAGAAATTAAGTAGACTTCAATTCCTTCTCATTCTTATTCTCCTCTGTAGCCATCTGGATTTGTTAATATATAATACTTACTGCGTTATTTTAAGTGGAATCAATTGGCAAAATTTCCCCCTCCCATATTCTCTACCTAAATTAGACATTCAAAGGAAAGAATTAATATGAAGACAGTAAGCCTAGTCCTTCTAAACTAAGCAGCAGATCCTTGGAGTGTGTCTTCACTGTCACCCCCTCCCCTTGTCCTTCGACTCATTTCTGGTCACCTCACCACTGTTGCTATAGAGACAGTGATATCACCAGGTATAATTCTGATGTCACTCTCCAGGCCCAACAAGGGGGAGATGCGTGGAAGGCTGAGGGAGGAAACAAGATCTTGAGCTGAGCAGAAACATCTCAGCATCTTCACTGACTTTAAAAGTATATCCTGGAGTCTTCTGTGGTCCACTGTTCCAGTGCTACAGAGGTAGGAAATCCCACTGGACTAATGAAACAGCCCATTCTCGGATTTTCTGTGGTTAAAAGGGAGAATTAAATGACAAGTGATGGGCAACTTTTTATATTCAGCCCAGCCTCTCTCTTCTGTCCAGTTATTTTTAATTCACATCAGAGTTCTCTGGAAATGAACGGACCTCTCATGTACCATCTTTACTGCTGAAGTTTTAACTTCGTTGCAACTTCAGCAAAACTTTGATCAACTTTTGTTTGATCAGATCTCCTTGGCCATCCTTTAGAGACAGGAGGGGTCTTACTCCCTGCTTCCCAATTTAATGATGAGAGTGGAAGTTTGATTACCTACTGACTTTTCATTATGTGGCTATTCCAAAAGTTCTTTTCTTTCCAATATCCTACTACCACAGTCATAATGGTATAGCTCGGAGTTCCATTTCTCATCCACTCACTATTTCTGAAGCTTTGGTTAGACTATAATAGAAAAGTAGGAAAGGAGGATATATAGATACGTGGAGAAAGTATCTGTACTAATTAACATGCCTTTAGAGAAAGAAGCTATTGCTAGGGAAAGTGCAAATTAATGAGATCCACAGGAAAGTTTAACAATGAAAAGTGCAATTACAGAAAAAAATTGAAATACATGCACACTTATTTAAGCGTAATGAATTGAAACTCTGATTTCAGCAATATCCAAATATTGTTTCTACAATGTGCCAGGTACTTACAGAAAGGGAGGGAGTGAGAAAAAGAGAATGAATAGAACAGAATATTAAAAAAAAAACGGAAAAAACTTGTTGCCTGTGAGTTAGTTTCAACTCTTGGCAACCCGATAGTCTTCCCTTTTAAAACTAGTAGTAAAACCTGGTTGAAAGTTTGCACTTGTAATTGAATAAACCTCAAAACTAGATCAGATATGTATCAATACTATAAGAGCTCCATTTATGTTGCCTGTAGTTTGAGCTTTTCTATGAGGTTAGGAACCTTGAGCAGAACAGGAGCACCTTGCTTAAGATGGAGCTGTGGTCTGGGATATGGCAACCCTAACCAAACCCCCTGTCTTGTTTATGCCCTGCCTAGCTGGCATTCATGATTTGCACTCTTCCTTAGCCTGAAGTAATAATTATATTAGCATTTTCTGGGATATTTTAGGTCAATCCCTCTATTGGCCATAGGAAAATTTCATAGCTTCCAGGATGTCAGTACTGGAATATCTAAGGAATATATCCACTAGTTCTAATATTCCCTCAATTTCTTTACTTTTAAAATGAATGTGTTGGAATAAATCATTTCTAAGGTCCATTTTATCTTTATGTA